GGAGCTGGGAGAAATGGCAGCCAGAGTGAGGAGAACCGCTTGCTTTGTGCTCAGGCAGCTGCCCCTCGATGCTCTGAGACCAACACGCGATGAGCAATGCCAGTTCTTCTGAGAAGCGTGGCTTTTGTTCCAGGTCTGGGCACAGGGTGGCACAGCAGGGCCCCGTCTCCCACCGCGATCCACAGAGGACTTGCCGGGATTCTTTCAGGGGAAAGACAAGGCGGAACGGGCTCTCTAATGGGTGGAGCGGGGAAATGACAGCCCGGATTCATCCTGGCAGAATAGGAGGGACCACGGCCGTTGCCTTAAGTGGAGTTCATTTCCCAGGCCCATCCGGGCCAGGAGAGCCAGCACTGATCGGCAGCCCTGATTCTTCAGGGTTCCAGACAAGCCATTCCCAAGTCCCAGCCGGAGACGGGAGGGATCGATTCTGCGGCTTTCTGCATGCAGAGCGCTGAGCCATGACTCCTCCCAGAAGGACAGGAAGCCTTGGAGAAGGCAGCCACCGCCGCTGTTTGCATTCGCCCTGGCGATGCGAAGCGAGATTTCCGAGTGATGTGCTTGTGTGTGTGGCGATGATCTCACAATAAACCCACCGGGGTCCCGGTTAGGAATGTGGAGGGATCCACATCAGGGCTGGGAATCTGCCGGAGTCCCTGGACTCAGCTCACTGCCCTCTGGCCCATTTTGCAGCAGTGCTGACCCCCAGTTCCTGCTGAGCGCCCCCAACATTTATGGGGCGCTTGCCAGGAATCGAGCCCCACACCCTGCCGGAGCTGTGCCTCTTGACATGGAAGAGGGTCGACTGTGCGGGGCTCATGGAAGGGGCGGCATAGAAATGTTCTAATAATAATAATAATAATAATAATAATAATAATAATAATAATAATAATAATAATGGAAGGAGGCCAGCATCTGGGCTTCTTCTCCGCTCGGCTCCCTTTCTCCACCAGGCCAAGTATGAGAAGGAAGCCCGCGAACGGAAGAGGGACGGAATCCGCTTAGTCTGAGTCTCAGTAGAGCCTTCTGCAGTGCCTGGATGGATATACCCACTTCCCCAGATGCTGGTATTTTGGTCTGCCTCTTGGCTCTTGCACAGTTTTAACAAGGTCGACGTCTTCCGAGCTCTTCAGCCAAAGCTTGCTGCATTTGCATGGCGTCTCCTGCTGGAATGGCTGGAATGCGGCCGAGGAGCATCCAAAATGGAAGAAAGAGCTGCCGGAAGAGCCTTGCCCGGTCCGCAGAGCTGGAGAAATCGACGTGCTGATTCCGGGGCTCGTGTTGGCGTTCCCCGTCAGGCCAAAGGTCAGCTGTTGGTTGGGGTTCTTGCAAGAGTTGCCGTGTGCCTGCCTGAACTACGTCGCCACCTCTGCACAGAGAGCTCTGCCTCAGTTCACCGAGTCACAGGCCACTGCACAAGAAGCAGATGGCAGATGGGAGCAGCTGAGCTTCCTTTTTCACACACTGAACACCTGTGAGGGTTGTTGTTGCTCACACACCCACCCTAAAGGCTGCTCCGGCCCAGGCCACCTGCCCTCACACATCCCATAAGCAGAGCGAAGGCTTTGGAATCCACCAGGGGGATGTGCCTGGGAGAGAACGCCCACCGCTGCTGGTTGGATGGAGCCCTCGGTGGGGAGAGGAGGAACTGCAACTTGGTGGGAAAGGCTCAGGGTTCGAGCCAATTGCCTCTGAAACCCTGGAAAGCCCCTGCCAGCCAGCAAAGAGAACCCCGAGCCGGACAGAACAATATTCTCACCTGCTTCAGGCCACTTCCTATGTTCCTGTGCCCACTGAACTTGTCTCTGGATCAAACCTCACGCTAGGCACACAGTCCCATCCAGGATGCAAGCCATTCTGTACCTGGAGAGGGAAGGCTTACGACTGCCCCTCCCCAAGCCACCCCCTCAGCCGCCTCCTTCAAATCAAATTAAAAAAAGAAAAGTGTCTGCATTTGTACCCAGGGATGCTTTCCCCTTTTTTTCTTGCACTTATTTGAGATAACGTACAGAATGGTTGTATTCTGATCTTCTCGGGGCTTCTCTTTGCAAGACATTTATTGTGCTTTCATAATCCCTTATGCACAGACGTTCTCCGGAAGCTTTCCTGCATTTTCCAGGCTTTATAGCTTCCTTTATTTTCTCAGTGAAGGAAGCCTGGGATGGAACTATAAACTGGACCAAAACCCTTGGGCATTGTTGCAAATCCTGACTACTGCAGCTCCGTCACAGCATCACCCTGTGGTTGGTTAACAAAACATCCAGATAGCAGAGAAATACAAACCCCAGCGGGGAAAAACCCCGTGCAAAGGATGTTTTTCCCCCACAATAAAAATAGAAAAAGAAGCCTCGGGAAAGTCTTCCTCGTGCAGAGGAGCCCTGGCTCTCCCTCCTGGAATTATTGGCATCCCTGGGAAAAGGGATAATGCTCAAAAGTTCTATCCCCTTCAAAGACAACACTGGCGCGGCCCAGTAGGTTCCTGTGACATTTGATAGAAGTGCAGTCTAGGCCAGGGGTCGGCAACCTTTAGCACTCAAAGAGCCCTTTGGACCCGTTTCCCGCACAAAAGAAAACACTGGGAGCCGCAAACCCCTTTTGACATCTAAAATGAAGATAACACTGCATATATCGTTTTTTACCTTAATGCTAGGTATATCTTCATTATGATTTAGCTGCAGCTCTTGCTCAGTCACTAAAAACTGTTATTTTTAATCTTACATTATAAACTAGTAGGACTCCTTTCATATATTTTGAATAGGAGAACCGCTTCCTGCAGAGTCAAAGGCAGTGCTAAAGGGCTGCATGCATTAAACTGCAAACCCCGTAAGTTCGTCAGCAGTAAAAGCAAATGAATCTACCCATGTACCATTAAAAATTTGGTTTTCTTCAGAAACTTTTCTTCGATTTATCCATGGTTGGCCTATGGGGTGGCAGGGTGGGGGGGAAGCTCAGTAAATCGGGGCAGGTCGCAGCAGATATAGGTGTGTTTAGGGACTGATTAGCAGGTAAACAGGCAAGTGCTGTGAATTGTGACAGGTCCCAAGCGCAGCTTTTAACATTCAGAGGAAGGAGATGACATTGGGACAAAGTGAATCTTTTCAGCAGTGTTTCGTGTAACGTGAGAGCCTGCAGGAAGCTTGTTCCACTCTTTCCCCGCACAATAGCAGAGGAATGTCACAATTTACTTAACCCGCTAGTGCGGTGCGGCGTTCCTGATGGATGCCTCATCATCACCTATTGGTATTTTGTAACTCGGAGCCTCGGCTGCGGATCGTCGGCTGTCACGCATGTTTTGAGCGACGGAGCCGCAGCAGAGGGATTCAAGAGCCACGTGCGGCTTTGGAGCCGCGGGTTGCCAACCCCTGGTCTAGACACTGTTCTAAGCCACAATGGCCTGTCTGAATGTGGGAATCACACCTTTTCCCAGCAACAGGTGATGGCCACTTGGAACAACTGAAACCAACAAGGTGCAATTGCATTTGGCGATTCCAGCAACACACGCCTGGCGACCTAGTCAAAGAAATGCTAGAATGAGATGCCGTTTCACGCCTGCTGAAGCTAGGACGGTTACCCCAAGGAAGGTCTTGGTGTGGATCCAGAATTCATCAGAGTCCACTGGAATAAACAGGACTTTGCAAGGCTTGTCGATGGAGTGGTTGAAGCCCCACTGGGGAGGCTGTTCACGGATAGGCTGGACATGCACATGGTGGGCATGTCAGGAGTGGAGCTGGCTGGAGCCAGGGTCAGACTAGATGACCCGGGAGACCCCTTCTGACTCGCTCTGTTTCTCTGTTTCTATATCTAGCTCAAGCTAAGGTCGCAGTGAAGCTCGGCAGCAGCCACCCCACTAGCTTTCCCAGACTTCCTCTCGTGCTCAGCCCAGCCTTGGAAATTTTGCAGAGCTGATAAGACATCTGCGAATGCTTGTGGAAGAAAGGCTGTGCAACTGGCAGCCTTCTTGCACACCGCGTGCTGTGACGTGGAGGAGGGACGTTGCTTGCGGAGGGCTCACATGGGGCTGAATTCCTTCTAAGTGCACTGTGGATGCTGGGTCCTCCTGCCAGGAACTCAAGCTCACAGCAAAGTGGACTGGAGCCCGGGACAGCCCAAGGAAACAGATGGATTCCCAAGGTGGTGGATCCCCAAGAAACGGATGGATTCCCAAGGATTCTCAAGGTGGATTCCTCTCACATTCCTAACTCAAGCCCTGTTGTGCCCTCAGTGTGTCTTTTTAAGGAATGACCACGCTTGGATCCTGCTCACGGAAATGCACGGAGAACTATCACTGGCATTGGAGTGTGTTCCAGCGGGGGTCTCCTCACAAGCAGCACTCCTGTGCCCTGGCCGTGTGTCTCACACTGACATTTCTGCTGCCTAATCTCCCAGAAGCTGCACATCCACAGTTGTGGAAAAGGGCCACCCGCACCTATCAGATTTCCCAGTTATGACGAAGCAGTCTCCCTTTGTACAGATCAGAATTTGTTTAATCACAGAAAAGAACCCTCTAGCCATACAGCCAGGCCAGTCAGGGATCCTGATCATGGGAAATAACCCTCTAGCCATGCAGCCAGGCCAATCAGGGTTCCTCATCATAACCCTCCATTGTTAGAGCTGTGCCAAGGTCAGGGACTATTGATCACAAGGAAGATCCCGGGCCAATCAGGGCCCTCATTCTCAGGGAAGAATCCTCCATGCTCGGTGCCAAGCATGGGAGTGTTGCATGGCTGCGGAGTCGGAGGCCTGGCCAGCGTGGGAGAACCTGCTCCCTCTCGTCTGTGCCTTCTTTCGCTTGACTCTTTTGCCCAGCCCCGCCAGTTTAAATTAGAGTCTCATGGGTGCAGATGGAAAGACTGGTCTGAGCCAGGCAAAAAAGCACGGCTTAAGAGGCAGATGTGTCTTTCCTTCCCAGATCTTCTCCTTATGCCTGGCATGGACAATTCTTGTAGCTCATGGCCTCATAAGGGAACCGGATCCTTTCAAACATGTTGTGACACAGAGAAAACGTTGAAGGGAGGGAGATGTCAAACATCTCGGTAAATCCCTCGGTGAAATTTCAAGAACTCTCCAGCAGCTCTATCTGTTGGTCGTGGGGTGGGGAACTGTGGGTTCGGGCTGATACTGCAGCTCCGTGGCAGTGAAAAAGTCTTCAAGGGTGGCCTGGAGGTAGTCAAAGGTGGGCCTTTCTTCCGGATTGTTCTTCCAGCATTTCTGCATGATCGCATAGAGTTCGAGGGGGCACGATTCCGGGCAGGGCATCCGGTACCCCCGTTCTAGGTTTTGGATCACTTCCGGATTAGTCATTGCTGTGGAAGGGAAAGGAAACATTGGGAAACTGGCTTATATTCTCTCCGCCCAGTCTGCCCCAGGATCCCTCCTCCTCCGCCAGGTGGGAGAGGAGCTGCAGCCAACCAGCAGAGGGGACAAGATTCTCGGGTGCTGTCAGGGCTGGAAACAGGAGCCCAGTGGCCCTGGGCAACTGCCCTGGGGCATGGATGGCAGGCTTCCTTGGGGCAATTAAGGATTCAGTTCCCCAGACCCAGGAGCCCGTCCTGGCTCCAGGATCCTGAGGCGTCCTGGGCAAGCCACCCTTGCTTGTGAGCCATTGTGAGTGTGGCTCCACCTTCGCACAGTTACTGCTCACCATCCTCTTCCTCCTTGCACTTGCTCGCTGACCAGGCAGAGAGGCAGGGGAACAAGCAGGCTGCAATGGGGAGGAAGAGGAGCGAACCCAGGGGGTGGTAGTCCAAGAGGCCTGGCTGGGGTTCTGGCCTCCAGCCATGCCTGTTTCTGAGCCTTGCTCAGGCCACAGGAGCTGGTCCACCTGGTCCCAGGTTGGCTACTGGTTTGCCTCAGTCCAAAGGACTACCGAGCCTTCCTGTTTAGGCTGGGACTTTGCCTGGGTGGGCACATCTTTCCTGCTTCTGCAAAGGGTTCTCTGGACCTCCTTGGGATCCACCCCTCTTGCATCTGCGGACCCTCCTCTCCTGCTTGGCCTGGTCCTGCAAAGCGAGCTGGGCCAAGAGGAAGTCTGTGAGCACTCAGGAGTCCCCCTCCCAGTTGCAAACTGGCAACCTTTCCCTCAGGATCAGGGGCTGCACATGGCAAAGGTCACACCAGGTACCGTTCCCAGTGACCAACCTTGTTCCCGGCCCACTGCTGTCTGGAATTATCTGTCCAACCTTCCACCATCAGGTGCCTTCCAGATGCTTCAGACTACAATGACCATCAGTCCCAGCCAGGTATGGTGGTGGGAAGGCATTGAAACTGGAGTTTAACCATACCTGGGGAGGACAGGCCTATTCTGATAGGCGATGGCTCCCAAGAACTAACAGAGAGGTATTTTTTGTCAGATGTAGCCTGAAGCCCTTTTCTGCCATGGCACTGAATTTTCAATGTTTTCCGAAGCCCTCAGATCTCACCCCTGTTTTGCACAAGTCCATGGTGTCCTAGCAGCTTTTGTTGACTACCATTGTAGATTTTTAGCTCCTTCCCCCCACACCCTTGAAACAAATAAGAAGCAAGCTAATTCTGAGGGAGGGTTCCAGTTGCCACCGGCTTGCACTCTGAAAGGGCTTCCTCTGGAGTTCCAATGCCTCTGATGGTATCAGGGCCATCTGGGTGTAGCACAAACCCCTTGCCACCTTTGATGGCATCTTCCTCAGCAAAATATCCCAAACAGATGGTCTTTTTTGAAAAACAACTAAAGAGCTCTTAGTGGAAGGATGCCCACTGGGGCGTTACCCAGTTTTGAGTTGCAAATGCCAGTGATTAAGTTGGTAACTTCTGCATGCAAAACGCACATGCTACCATAAAGGAATCTACACCCTCCCTTTGGGTTATTTTAGGTTTAAGGCAAAGCCCTAATGAAACAGTTCCTGGGTCTTTTTCATCCATACAGGCTGCCTCTTTCTTGACGGGTTCTGCAGGAAATCCGATGGAAAATCCATTTTCCAGGCACCAAGTCAAAACATTTAAGGCTCTCCCAGTCTTAAGCTTGCAGGCTTTGGAACTCCTTCCCTTCAAAGTTCATCCAGGAGAGGTTCCTGATTTTTTGAATCAGTCTTGCATGCTCCCAACACATGGGAAAATCGCAGACTTGGGAGAAATTTAGGCTTAAACCATTCAAGGAAGAGCTGCCTTAGGTCATTTCCCCCTCATGTTCCTCGTAATCTGGTTGTTTGCCAAGTTTCAGCTTCTTTGCTGGTGAAGAGATAATGAATATATGACTAGTTTTTCTAGAGGGAAAAACTGAGGCAAAGCTGGAAAAATTGGTTAGGGTCCATGCTTTTCTTTGGATTTTCTCATGGACAAAAATATCCCAAAGTCCTGGCATTTCTTCCCCCCAGACCCTTATGTCACTACATCTTCCCCCCACACTTTGCAAAAAAATGGGAAATATAAATACAGAAATAATCCACCATGAGTAACTTTGGATAGCGCAGGGTACAAATTCAATGGAGGAAGGGATGATGGGTGATGTGGTGGCAAGGCCTGCCCTACCTTGATAGGGACACTGTCCGTAAGTGACAATTTCCATGAGAAGAATCCCGAAAGACCAGACATCAGATTTGATGGTGAAAATCCCGTAGTTAATCGCCTCTGGAGCTGTCCATTTGATTGGAAATTTGGCACCTATCAGGAAAGGAAACATCTGTAAGGAAAAGCTGTTATGGATCCTCTCAGTCCGATTTAGGCTCCGAACACCCCCAGTGAGACACTCTTGGCCAGATAGGATACTCTGGACTCCTACCTGGGGTGCAGATTTTGCTTAAAGTGAGCTGAGCCAAGATTGAGTCTGCAAAACACACAGGGGTGATTGTGGCACCTTCGTGCCAAGTACGCAACTTACATAAAGCCTTGCACAGAGTACGCAAACGATCCAAAGCTTGCGAGTGATGTCTGCAGAACCCCATTTGCATAGTGGGGACCTGTGTGCCAGGTGTGCGAGCGGGCCTCATGGGCTTGCTTGGACTTGCTTCTGCTGGAAGGCCCCCACAAACGAGGCCAGGGTGGGGCACAGAGGAAATGGGAGCCGAGTCGAGGAAATTGGACGGAGCCCCAAAATGGATTGCTCCCACATGGCAGCAGCGCAGGTTCAGGGGACTTTAGTCCAGCACATCTGGAGTTACACCAGCTCAGGAAAGGACCGATTCAAGGCCTGGGCATCTAATAAATATCCGTTGCTCAGACTGGCCAGAATCTCTGAGATAAAATTTGGGAGCTAAGCCATCGATCTGAGCCTGTAGGCACTGGATTTCACCTGCCCAGGTCCAAGTCAAACTGTGGGTTGAGTGTGGATTGTTGTGGAAATGTGCCTTATTAAATCTGAAGCTAGCTGTGCGAACAAGCCATGGCCGGTCAACCCTGAGAAACCATGGTTTGTTGTTGGGTTGTGAGCTCTGGGTTGTTCACCATGGTTTGGTATCTTGGCTGGGTTCAGACAACATGGTAGTCCAACAATTCAACAACAGTCCACAAGTCAGTAGCCACCCTCACTCAACCATACTTAGGGGCTGAAAATGGATTATTGTGTTGTCCAAAGCCCAAGGGTGTGGGATGGGCTTCCATGGGAGGTGGTTGAGGCCCCCTCGGTGAGGGTGTTCAAGGACAGACTGGACATGCACATGGTGGGCATGTTGTGAGGGGAACTGGCTGGATCCGGGGGTCAGACTAGATGGCCTAGGAGTCCTCTTCTGACTTGCTCTGTTTCTATGTTTCAAACCCAGCTGGTAAGTAAAGCATATTCTGAAGGACATCCCTGCCAAAAAGGATGCATTTATGCACACAGAAAGCTAGCCTGCCAGGAATGTTCTGCACCCCCGTCCTGTGTTAGGTTTTTTTTGTAACGATTGGAGTCTCTCTTGCCAGAATATTAGAGTTAAGAGAAGCAGTCCAATCTTTAAAATCACTGAGTGGGCAGAAGTTGGTCTCAGAAAGGCCAACCTTTGGCCGCTGGAAAACAAGGCTTCAGATGTTGAACTGACCTTCTCGGGCAAGATATTCATTCTCTACAATTCTCGCCAGGCCGAAGTCCGCAATCTTGCAGCACAGACTGTCCGACACCAAAACGTTTGCTGCTCTGAGATCCCTGTGGATGGAGTTCATTTTCTCAATGTATGCCATTCCTTCAGCAATCTGGGAGGAACAAGGCAGATGATGGAAATGAAACAGTGTAGAACAATCACAGATTCTGCCAATCATTGCAAAGATGGATTCTGTGTTTGGCTAATAATGAGCAAAAGCATAAATTCTGGTTTCTCCCTGTTTTCACTTCCCCAGTCTTCAGTTTCATCTGTTCTACCTCAGCCAATGGTGCTGTGTGTACAGTCTGTGCAAAATTGGTTTGCATTTTGTGCAAAATAATTTGTGCATTCTGTATGCATTTTTGCCTGGTATGTTACTTTAATGCAACTTGGCTAATGTATGCCATTTTTGCATGCAATTCTTCCTAATGGAATGCATTTTGAACACAGTTTAACTAATATGCCTGGAATTGTGTGCACTTTTCCCTAACAGACACAGGTTGGTGCACATATTAGTTTAACTTAATTACAGGGCTGCAGAACAGAATTCAGAGAAGTGTAAAACCTGCAATTTTGTTCATGCAATTATTCGGCAAGTGAAAAGTAGGAAGATTCACATTCAAATAATTAATGTAACTTAAAATTACATTACTTTAAGATTTCTCCAACCCCATCCCTAAACCTGACAGCCTTCCTTCCAGCCAGCCTTTGAATCTTTCTGCCCTCAAAAAAGGGTTGAACAAAATTTGGTTTCCGGTTGTTTGGACCTACAACTCTCATCAGTGCGAGCCAGTCTTGCTAATGGTGTAAGGTCATGCAATTCATTAGCCAAAACCTCTGGAGGGCCACAAGTTTCCCAGTCTTGCGGGAAGAGCCTGGATCCTGGGTGGCATCCCCAGTGGAAGGGGAGCGGGGCAGAAGGAGCTCTCCCCTCCCGCCTCCAAACAAACACATCCTTTACTGGTTTATATCTTAGTGTGGATGGAAGCTTATACTCTCAGTTGATAAGCAGGGTATAAACAGAACAAGAAAATGGATGGACTGCTACTTTCTGGAGAGCATTAACTGTGTTGTTGTGAGTCGCAAAGTCGTGCCCGACCCATCGCGACCCCACGGACAACCTTCCTCCAGGCTCTCCTGTCCTCCGCCATCCCTCGGGGTCCACCCAAGCCCACACCCACTGCCCCAGTGACTCCATCTAGCATTAACATTAACATCTAGGATTACTCAGAGGAGGGCTTTCTCTGCGGTGGCGCCCCGGCTATGGAATGCGCTCCCTAGAGAGGTCCGCCTGGCGCCGTCATTATATGCTTTTCCACACCAGGACAAGATCTTTTTATTTAACCAATGTTTTAAAGTTAATTAATTTCAATGGTATATTTATTTATTTAATTCATTTTAACTATGTTATTGTATACTCTCGTGGTATAGCCAATATATTTATGGTATCGGAAGCCGCTGAGAGGTCCAGGAGAACCAACAGAAATGAACTCCCCCCATCCCTCTCCCTGCACTGGTCATCATACAGGGCGACCAAGGCAGATTCAGTGCCATACCCGGGTCTGAAGCCGGACTGAAATGGGTCCAGAGAATCAGTCTCATCCAAGAGAGCATGGAGTTGTCCCACCATTCCAACACCTTGCCCAGAAACGGGATGTTGGCCACTGGTCTATAATTGGTGGCCATCTCTGGATCCAGGGACGCCTTCTTTAAGGCTGACCTGACCACCGCATCCTTTAGAGAGGTGGGCATCTGGTCGTCCCTCAGAGAGGCATTGATGACCTCCAGGATCCAGGCATCAATCCCGTGTTTGGCTTTGGTCAGCAGCCACGACGGGCAAGGGTCCAGTAAACAGGTGGTGGGACGTACTTGTCCAAGCACCTTGTCCACATCATCAGGCCACAACAACTGAAACTCATCCAACCATATGTGACCAGACGGTAACAATATGTGCCCAGAGACCTAGGTTCTATTCCCCATCCAGCCATGAATCTCTCTGTGTGACCTTTACTCTCACTCTGACCTACTTTGCAGGGTTGTTGAGAGGACAAAATAGGGAGGGGGAGTGTATAAGCTGCCCTAAGTTCTTGGCCGGAAAAAGGGCATGAGATAAATAGAGCAAAGACACGCATTTAGCCGCTGCAGAATCACGCTATCTGGAACCAGGATGGTCCACGGCATGGCAAACCTTCCGTTTTGTATGGTTTTGCTCTGCTCAAAGGGGCGCAAGAATTTTCCAGCCCGCAGAGATGGTGTTGGTAATTTTATTTTCCACCCCGGCGCTTTCATGTGGTCTCAGACAGGATATGAAGAGAGACTTTCCACAAATATCTGACGCGCTCGAGCTGACAAGCGTCGGGCTTGACTGCCGCTCACCTCAGTGGAAAGCAGAGAGATGGGTGTAACTTCCCGTCCTGGCGATGAGGCGATAGTGGCGACAGCTGCTCCCCGCCCTCCGCACAGGCGCAGGCGCTGGGCTGACCACAAGAACAGGCACACACTGAGCACTTTATAATTTTAGCGCCTGCCTGTGAGATTGTGTTGGGTCAGCCCTCGCTCTTGCACCGCTGCTTCTGCAAGCCTCTCCTGGACACGGGAAAGCTCTCCTCTTTTCTCCTCCCTGTCTGCCAGCCCGTCTTTCTCTTTCCAGGACCCCTTTCTCTCTCTCTCGCTCTCCCGCTCTCTCTGCCGCCATCTCCTCTCCCTCTTCCCCTTTGCCCTTTTGCAGCAGGCTTCCGAGGGATGGGGAGGTTTGCCGGAGGGTTGAAAAAAATGCTTTCTGGGAGCTTAGGAACAAGCCAGAGGGTCCCAGGTCGACCACCCTTGTGCTTAGCAGTGCTGGGCAAATGTGAGCATTGTGGTCCAGCCAGAGATCTTGCATTCACTCCGTCGTGCCCAATTAATTGCAAATGTCACCCGACAGCTGCCAGTCAAGAAATCTGAGCTCTGCATTGACATCACAGAGTATAGTTCTACAGGTCAAAAGGTGGCTCAGATGGGACCCTTCTATTTCAGCTAGTTGTATTTTCCCCCGGTGCTACAATCAACACCTGGGCTCTGCCCTCCATGGCCATCTCTAAGCCAGGCTTGCAGGAGGGCCTTCTCGGTGGTGGCCCCTGAAATTATGGAATGAGCTCCTCACTGAGGCTCACCTGGTGCTAACCGTACTATATTTTAGGACAAGTTAAGCCTGTCCTCTAAAACAGGACACTGAATCAGCTCTAGGAGGTATATTGGGTTGGGTATCTAAGAAGCCTTGTGACTGACTTTTTAAACGAGACTGAGGGAACTGGGTCTCTTCAGCCTGGAGAAGAGGAGACTCAGAGGGGATCTGTTGGCGACATACAGGTATGTGAGGGGGTGTCACACGGAGGTGGGGAGAGACCTGTTCTCCCCTGCAGAGGAAGGCAGGACACGCTCCAACGGAGCAAAGCTCAGGGAGCCAAGGTTCAATTTGGATGCCAGGAAGCACTTCCTGATGGTTGGGACCCCCAGGGTGTGCAATGGGCTTCCACGGGAGGTGGTTGAGGCCCCATTGGTGAGGGTGTTCAAGGACAGGCTGGACATGCACATGGTGGGCATGTCATGAGTGGAGCTGGCTGGAGCCGGGGGGTCAGACTAGATGGCCTGGGAGACCCCTTCTGACTCAGTCTTTCTATGTTTCTACGCTTTTTCTTGCAATGTAGTTTTTGAGATTGCTTTTACTGTTATCTGTATATTTACACTGTATTTCTATTGTATTTTATGCACTGCTGCAAACTGGCCAGGGAGCTTCAGCAATGGGGCAGAATAAAAATAAATAAATACAGAAATGCATAAATGCATACATAAATAAACCGGTGTGTGGATGTTGAAGAAGCTGCATCCAGGCCGCAATGGGTCACTGAGAACAGAGACCATTTCAAAGGGAGTCAAAGCACCTACCTGGGCGCCCATGTCCACAAGTTTGGGGAAGCACAGCCTAAGCCCCTCGTCTGTTTTCAAGAAATCCAGCAGGCATCCTGAAAGAGAGGAGAAGCAGCATCTTTTATTATCGGGCGAGTCGGCAGAATCGCATTTGCCACCGGATTCAGAACTGGGCTTTACAGAGGGCTGGTGCTGGGGCTTCCATGAGCAAGCCGCTCAGCAGGCTAGTCTGAAATGTGGCAGGGCAGAAAAGCTGGAAAACAGGAGGAGGAACAGTGGGGAACTTATAGGAGGTTAAGGATGAGCAGCACATTTAGTCCGTCTGTTCCATCTAGACTAGCACGAGAGTTGTTTTGTGGCCATTTTTCTCCGTGCTCAGTGACTTTTAGAAAACAGGTTGTCCTCGCAGGTAGGGGAGGTGTGGCCATGTGCACTGCACCTGAGGAGGCACGTAATCCAGTGCCGTTTTGGGAAACAGCCTGATCTTCTCCCCATCTGAGATTATGGGACTTCATCAATTCCCATCCTCAGTGTGGGGGCAGGAAGAGAAGAGAGACAGAGGGCGAGTCTCCTCTTCTCCAGGCTGAAAAGACCCAGCTCAATTGATCTCACAGGGCACCCCCTCCACACCCCAATCCAGCTACTCTGCTCATGTCCCTGCAATGAACTGATTCCAACCTTGCTCTGTTTCTCTTGTAATGAGGGGCCCAGAACTGAGCACAATACTCCAGTTGCGGGCGCACCAGAGTCGTATAGAGTGGCAGCAATACCTCTCTTGATCTAGAAGCCACACTTCTGGTTATGCAACCAAGGGTGGCGTTCACCCTCTTGGCCACCGCATCACACGGCTGGCTCATGTTCAGCCTGCAGTTGACCAGCACCCCGAGGTCCCTTTCACAAGTGCTGCTCTTAGGAGCTTCATTTATATCTTGCCCTTTTCCCTCGTGCCAGGAGCCCAAGGAAGCCTACCTGCTTCTCTTCCACACAGGTTTTATCTTCACAACAACACCCCTGTGAGGCAGGCTGGCTGAGAGTTGGTGGCCGGCCCAAAGTCTCCCAGAGAGCGTCATGGCTAGAACCTGGATCTCCCAGGTCCCCAGTCCAAACACACCACCCTGGCTCTCAGCTGTGCACCAGATTTACAACTCTGAGCAGACACTCGGCCTTAATTGCCCTTTGGTCCCGTCCAGGAGGATGCCTGTGTTCTGATACAAAAATTCCCCCATAAAGAGAAAACTAGCGTGCAACTGGCACCGATCCACCGGCCGTGGAGCCAAGACATTCTACCTTTGGCCATGTATTCCGTTACGATGTAGATCGGGTGCTGTGTGACCACGGCGTACAGGCGGACCAGCTTGCTGTGCTGCAGCCTCTTCATTAAATTGGCCTCGGCCAAAAAGGCGTCCCTTGGCATACTGCCTTCCTTCAGGGTCTTGATGGCCACCTTCACGTTGTTCAGGTAATACCCTGCAAAATGATGGCAAAGGCAATGAGCGGCGGTCTGTTCCGGCAGGATCTGGAAACCCAGCCTTGGTGGTGTCGTGGAACGAAGGCATCCGGGGACGCTGACCTCCACTGCTCCCCCACCAGATCCCCTGCTCTCTGGGGATGGGGAAATTAGTTTTCCGAAGGAAAAGCATTTATTTTCCCTTTTGCAGTGTGAGACGACTTGATCTGGAACGAGCAATTGGCATCCAGTAGCTCTGCAAAAGATCTGCTTCAGGTGGGACGAAACCAGGAGGAGGTGACTCAGCTCGGGGTCCTTCACAGGCAAAGCGCTTTCCCATTGGCTTTGGGACAAACGCTTTTCCCAGAAAAGCCTCTCCCAGTCTCCAAACCTCAAATCCTTGGCAAACCAGGACACGGTCAACACTGGAGTCCTGCATTGAGCAGAAGCTTGGCCCCCTCAGCCCCCTCGAGTCCACTATTCTAGGATTCCTTGACAGATTTCTCATCATGTGGATGTCTCCAGAAGAAGGATCGGCAGGGGAAAGGTTGGGGAAAAGCCATCGTGGCCTGCGAGCTGCCCACAGCTGCCATTCAGAAGATGCTGTTTAGGTTATCCTACTGCCCAGGGTCAACAATCAAGGGAAGCACAACCAAGAGGGTTGTGATGGTTCTCAGGATCTTGTTGTCTTCTGTTCGTTGGACTTCTTCTCCTTCTCAGCCCTGGCTTAGGGAGCAAGCTGAGAGGAAGCCCACAGGTGCTTGTGCAATTCTGGCTGCACAACTGGCAACCGTCTTCTGCATCACATGCAGCACAAACAAAGGCTACAAGTTGTGTGATTCCTGGTGGCTGCCTGCATAAATGCTTGGTGAGCACAGGAAGCTGGACACGTGGTTGTACGAAACCAGGCTGAAGTCTGGGGAACCAAGCCCAGAGAATCCTGCAGCTTCCCAAACCCAAAGTGGGTTCCTCAGCCCTCTTTACTTCCAATCGTGACTCAGAGAGTGGGTTCATACAACATGGCAATCACACTCGAAGGGTTATTATTCAATTGTGGGTTGCTGCTGAATTGCAGGTTATCGTGTCATCTGAACCCAGCCTGAATAACAAGCCACGGTGACCAGTCCACAACCCAGCAACAAACCATGGCTTCTTTTCAAGGGTTCTTTGTGGCTAACTAGTCTTGGTTAGCCAGTGCAGGAGAGTTCAAACAGCAGCATAACCCACCTTTTTTCAACAACCCATGCTCAACCCATGCTCAGGTCATTGCGGTGCTTGTTCTTGGACTTGCCAGCAGTGGAACCAAAGCCACGGCCCTTGTCAGAGCAGAGGTTTCTCTGGGAATTTCTCTGGAGGAAGCACTTGGGGCCTAAGACTTGTCCCCATGAAGAACCCCAAGCAGCTGCACTGGATTCTCCCACAGGCCAGGAGCCAGGAGACCAAACCGGAAGGCTCTTCTGCAGTGAATGGGACCAGGGACTCTGCCAAACTTACCGTGGCTCTCACTCGCTGCAAGGTTTCAAAGGATAATTATAGCAAGTGCTTCTTTAAAAACACTGCGCTCTGGAAGAGCAAAGGGCAGCTGGTCCAAAGTCACCCCACGAGCGTCAAGGCCAAGTGGGGAGAGGGACCCGGGCTGCCCGTGTCCCTCCGCAGCGCTCTCCCTGCCGCACGGTCCTGGCTCTTGGGCTCGAAGGCCGTTCTGACCTCCTGCTGCCCCCCTCCACCCCGTGCCTTCCCCTCAATGGCCAGACTACTCACCCATCCAGACCTCTCCGAACTGGCCCGCCCCCAGCTTCTTGATGAGCTTCAGGCTCTCCCGAGGGATCTCCCATTCATCCGCCCCCCAAGGTCTCTGCGGAGCGGCGGATAAGCACGGATTCCTCAGCCGCTGGCACAGCCCGTCTTCACGATCTGCACATGGAGGGCACAAACGGGAGCAAGGCCTGAGGGGCGGTGGCCGAGGGCTGGGGCAGAAGGCGGCCTCGGCCCTTGGGCCAGCCACGAGCTGGAAGGCTGTGGGGAGAAGGCAGGGAGGGCCCCGAAGCCCAGCCCCTGCCCTCCCGAGCCTGAGTCCCCGTGCCCCCAGGGCCATCTGAACGCGTGGGCCTGAGGGGCACTTGCCCGTGGGCCCCATACTAATCTGTGCATGTTAACCCTTGGGAAATCGGAAAACTTCCAAAATTAACAGCAGTTGTAGTTGTCGTCGGGGCCCCAGGACACTGCTTTGTCCGGGGCCCATAATGTTGTTAAGACGGCCCTGGTGCCCACTTCCAGGGAAGGAGCTGCAACTCAGTAAAGGGGTCCCAGGTTTGGTCACTGGCACCTACGGGTGGGACCAGGAGGAAAACTCCTGCCTGACGCTCCAGGGGCGGCTGCTGCCAGCCAGAGTCCTGAGCTGGCCCTCCCCTTCTTGCCCTCCAGCTCCAGAACACCAGACCGTCTCTTTGCAATGCTGGTCTTTCTTGGCATGCCACGCCAACAAGACAAAGTAACTCTAACAGCTGGAAGATAAGCCTCTGCTCATGTGAAGAGTGTAGAACCCAGACTGAGGACTTCTCCTCTACATCTTCCCCTGTCAGTGGCTCTGTGGGCTCTATCACAGGGTGGTTCCCATGGGCGAAGGGCCGGCCAGCAAGACCTCCCCAAGCCCCCTAACCAGGCAGATTTCTCTGCTAACGCCTTGTCTTGGGGTCAGGGGCCAGGCAGGGCAATGGCTCTCCTCCTTCCCACTCTGGACAGCTCCCATCTTTCAAAGACATCTCTGCTCTCCTGACCTGCCTGGGAACCTGTGGACAGCAACTGGCTGAGAGATGCACCAGAGGGGGCTCGAGAAGTGCGATCAGCTCATGCATGCAAGCTGTCCCAGAAGCAGTGAGCTCCGAAGGGGCCATGTGCTCCTCTCCACGGAGCAAGCAATGCTGGGAAACTCTGTGACTGCTCATGTGAGCGGAACGCATTTGGCCTGGATCTGCTCCAGCCATGACATCACGATCGACTTTCTTCTCCACGGATGGCCTGGGCCGCCCTGAGCGAGATTAGCTCTTGGAAAGCGGTGGGTGCAATTGACTGTCCATGAAAGTCAGGACAACGTTCTTATCTTGTTTAAAGGCTGAACGAGGCCTTATATGATTCATGTGTTTGGAAAAAGTTGTGCTTAAAAGTGTCAATAAATGAGTATAAATCGAGTGAAATGCATACTTTGGACTCCTGGGTCTGAGGTTGGAAATGTCCGTGCCCTCCCCGCCAATCTGGAGAGAATTAACCACATGGCCAAAGATGGCTACCTAGCCGAAATGCAGCGTGGGAGATGCTGCATTTCTCCTGCTCCGCAGCGGATGCTCATAAGCCTCCACATTCATGGGCTCATGAGCATCAGGGGTGCAACTGAGAGGAGTGCGCTGGAGTTACATTCTAGTCTCTGGCATTTGTGGGCTTCCATGTGCGCTCAGTCCAGTCTTGCAAAGCAAGCCCAGCTGTGGGGAGGTCTGCAAACTCTCCAAGAAAGGCCATGCACCTGTGAAGCCTCTTCCGTGCTGGCATGAGCTGGTCCCTTCCTTCTTCCCTCTGGGTCCAAAACCCAGGACAATATTTCAATAAACGCAGTCCTTTTATTGAGACTCCATAGCTATAACCGCTTGAGCTCTGAGCAGCCTTCTGCTGAAACTGAAAAGAGAAGTCTCTGCTCATGGAAAGAGCGGAATCCAACCTAGAAACTTCCCTGTGGCCTCTCCCTTGCAGTAGAACTTCTGGCTCCACCTTGCTGGGGAGCAAGAGGTGGCCCATTTCTTCCAAAGCCCTACCGTGCATCTTGCACCTGGACTGGGTCTTGCACCCGCTACCCCTCTCTCCTGAAAGCCTTTCCTCCCCTTCTGAAACAGGCCCATTCTCATGCTCAGCCTGAGAAACTTCAGTAGGCGCACATGATTATTAAAAACATACACATGAATCTCCTTTCCACACGAGAGTTCTCTACAGTCAAGCGCTAAATCTGGCCTTCTCAGCATACCTTGCTAAGCCCTGCCAAACCTGACCTGTTTTGAGAGTGACTTACCGGAATAATACTTGACAAGTTCCTGCAGTGTGGGGAATTTGGCTGTAGGGCAGATGTAGTATCCCCCAGAATCCATCCCATGGATCTTGTAATGTTTGACAACATCCCCTTGGGGTGAATTGTCTCTAACGGAAAGAGCAAAGCAATCTGGAACAGCAAAAGCAGAAATGGTCACTTGATGTTGCCACTGGAAAAAGTCCCTGAATTATGCAATCAACAGAAATGTCGTATCACAGAGACTTTAACGATTGGGCTTTCTTTGCTGTTCACAGGCTGATCTTGCGTGAAAATGAGAAGGTGAAGGAGAAGAAAGAGTCGGGTGTCTACTAAATCAGATTTCCTAACCTGATCTGTTGAACTACAACTTTCATCGGCCACAGACATCCTGGCCAGTGGGCATTGCAGCCCAGTGCATCTGGAGGAAACCAGTTGTGGTAAACTTGCTAAAATAACAGGACAAAACCAGCGATTTCGCTCAGACACAAATACAAACCTCAATGGAGGGGAACAGCTGATCAGAGGCAATGAATGAATGAGTCCTTCACTCATTGCCCAGTTGTGCTGAGTCAAAAGAAGTAAAGTGGACACAGTCTTCGAACAGGAAGCTTTAAAGCATGGGTCTTCAAACTGTAGCCCAGGGGTCAGATCTGGCCCACCATTCCCATTTATCCGGCCCCCCATGCGCATTTGGACCCACCATGCGCCCACCACTGCCCACCTCGTCCGGCGCGCGGGGAGGCAGCGGTTTGCCCACTCGGAGAAAACACTCTCCAAGAGAGCAAGCCACTGCCTCGTGCGCCCACCTCGCGGCGTGTGCCGCCCCCGCCCTGCCTCGCTTCCCCTCGCCGTGCGCATGTGCCACCCCCATCCCCGTCCGGCCCATGCGCACCGCCGGCACCACCGGCATCCAGCATGGGCACCTTTCAACGGGCCCCCTGGTTAAAAATGTAGAGGACCCCTGCTTTAAATTAAAGGCACAGTGTTTCTTCAACGCCTCAAGAATATTCTGGTTAATTTGGTACTGCAAGCAACGTAACTCACCCCCAAGCAAACCCAAACCCAAATCAGGTCTAAGAAGGGAAGCATAAAACGGAAGACGGGGGGGACGTGATCTGACAGTAATGGACAATTGTTCTCCCTCAAACTTACGTCAGTGCCAGAGAAAAGGGTCTGTGATCCTACAGTGGAAAGGACCTGTTATAACAGGAAGGCAAATGACCCTTTTCTGTCTGCATTGCCATATAAATGAGGTGTGTACCCGATAGACACCCTTCTTCCTCAACAGCAGCACTCAGGGTAGTTTTGCAGAAAATGAGAATTAAAATGGCAAAAGATCACATTGGTGCTGTTTCTAAACAAATCAATGCCATGCCTTCTCTCCAATGAAAGCATGAAGTCTGCATACAAGACACACACACACACACACTGCTTGAATGATGCATGCGATCAGGGAAGGATGAAAAGAATTCCCCAGCTTCTTACTCGGAGTCGTTTCACTCTCCCTGATTAGGAAGGAGCCCACCGCGTTGCCAGGCCCCAGCAGGAGACGTTCAGCTTCTTTCCTGTTGTGACCTTTGCAAAACCATCTGAGAGAGAGAGAAAGAGGGAGAGAGAGATTTGTTAAAGGTCCCAAGCTGGAGCTGAGATTGTCAGCAAGAGCCAGAATCCCACACAATTCACAAGTTGTCTGTTTTTGACTAACAGCCTTGAGAAAGGTTTTCTGTCCCCTTCGCTCATGCTGTTTCCCATGCAACAAATTTATCTGCCCGCCGGGGAGAAAGGTGGAGATTGAATATGAGATCCAACAACCAAAGACACACTGCTTGTGCATGCAATGATCATGGGCGAACATGGAAATTCCTTCTTCGTGCAGTTAACAGTCCTCAGAACCAAAAGGGACATTACTTTTCCATTTTGCGAAATAGTGATTTATGAATCCAATAGACATTTTGCAATAGTAATTGCAAGTTCAGGGGTTTTAATTCAGATCAGGTGGAAAGGCTTGAAATCCCCCACCTCCCTTCTTGCTTTTTATGCTTTCCTAACCTTGCAGTTTATTGGATGTTAAGCTGCCGTATCGACTTTTGATTTTGCCACAGAGTTGCGATCTGAGCACTGCATGAGGAGCATTTCATTTCCTGCTTTTCCAAGGCATAACCTCTAGGTGGCACTGTGGTTTGGAAAATAGTGCAAATACAGACAAGAAAAAGGTGCTTTCTTTCACCTTCTCAACTAAACGAAAATAGAGACAAGGAAATCGCTCTTTCTTTCACCTTACTTTCTTTTCGGCATCAGGCAAAGACCTTCCTTTTAAAAAGGTACTTTAATAAATAATGCCATTGACCTTTGTTTTGTTTTTCTGCTTGTATTTTATTGTTATTCTATTTTTAATATTTCATTACTGGTTTTTATTGTGTTTTTATCTTGTCATTGTGAGCCACCCAGAGGTGCTGTGGCACAACTGGGCGACCTAAAAATGTTTTAAATAAATAAATAAATGGTACATTTTTCCTGTTGGGAAAAAAAAATCCCCCGAAGTACTATTTAGACAGTGTAGGGAAACTGGAGGGTCATATCTTCACCTAAAGAACCAATAATCCACTGTGCAGGGAATGATGTGCTCATGTGGACTAGCCTCATCTAGAAAAGCCTTAAACCCAGATCACATGCCATGCACCTGTCTTAAGAACTGAGATTTTCCAGCCTGCTAAAACCGGTTCCCTTTGGTTTAGCAACCCGCACCTTTCCAGAGTTCTTACTGTAGAAGCACCCGGGCCAGAAACATGGTTAAGAGTATTAGTTGGACATCCCCAAATTGTCCAATTGCGGTAAGAAGGCTGATGCTTCTGTGACAAAAACACAAAGGGGCTTCCATGCAGAATTCCCAGACTCACTTTTCTTCTTCCAGGCTGTTGGCAAGAGCCACGAAATTGCTAGGTATGTAGCCTTTATTCCCGGTGGTGAGCGATTTTGCTAACCACCAGTCGCCATCGCTGTAAGCAAAGCACAGTAATTTTAAAAAAATCAATGAATGAGCAATGCAGAATGAAAGGCGAAGTGACCACATGCTGTTTACTCCACTCCCGTGGAGGAGGGAGGGGTTTTTATGACGCCTGCCAATTATTCTGGGCTGGTGCAGCTGGGAGCAAGGGCCTGAACTGGGATTTCAGCCCCAGGACTGGATTCCCTTTTGGAGAAGCTGCAGCGAACTGCATTCCAGTGCTAAAATGGGCAGGGACAAAATACCCAGCTGGCTGGCCTGTTTTGTCTTAAAAGCTCTTGCTGCCGGTATCTGAACCCTGGAAGAGGCATTTCATTTGAGAATAGGAAAATCTGCACAACATTCAGGAAAACACTAAAATCTTGAGGGTTGGGGGAAAGGGGGGCACATGGGGGAACCCACATTGGGCCAGAGCGAGACCGCAGGAGAACTGGATTTGACCCCAAGCCTAAGTTTCCCACTCCATTTTAAATGTGGGCAACCTCCAGATGTTTTGCAACGATTCCATGAGCTCCAGCCAGCATGGCCAAGGGTCAAGGATTCTGGGAATAGTAGTCCCAAAACTCTGGAGGGCAGGAGATTCCCTATTCCTTCATTCGGATGTGGAGAGTCTCCTGCATGGCCTCTCTTTGCTCCGAGAGCCTTAGATATACCTCACCTCCCACTTGGCCGGCTAAGATCACAGCCGGAACAGGTGCATTTCCAGTTGTGGGAAGAAATGGCATCTTGGCATCTGGGACGGAATGTGCACAAGGATAAAGGACGGGCTGATAGGAGTCCTCTCTTTGGGCATGGGTCATGCCTGAGTTTTCTTTTTCTGCATTCAGAGGCATGCCAGGGCATGACTGTACCACCCAAAAGCTGACTAAGGTCACTGACCTGCAAAGGACTTCAAACTTCTCGCCTACGGTGAGTGGCAGGTCCCGTTCGTTTGCAGAGGTGAAATCAAACTGTGCGATGACATAATGCTTTCCTGGAGCTGCAAAAACAGAAGCATTGACTGGGGCTCTAGGCCCAGAAGTGAATTGTTTCAGCTGCCAGGGACATCAATGTTAAGGCAGCTTCTGTTTTTGCTCCTTTAGTTAGAAGCTTTTGTTCCTCCGCTTTTGTTCCTTTAGTTAGAAGCTTCCTGAACCAGACTCGGTTTAGCCTGTTCCTGTTCGGAGGGGGGTGGGGAGCTGCTTTAGTTCTTTGCAGCCAGAGCAATTGATTATTATCTTAACAGTTCCATTTTCTTTTAGTTTGATGGCCATAACTGTGAAATTAACTAAAAATAATAACATTAATGTGCAATTGCTCTCAGGTTTCTCATTGCAGAGATTTGCACCTAGCCCAGAGATTAAAAGCAAATTAAAACCCAGGCAGATCAGCCAGCTGACAATCTTACACAGAAGAAAGAAAGTCATCAAATCAGGGATAGGCTAAGCTATTGCAGAGATTCAGGTCTCAGACCCACAGGACAAAGGCAAATCAAATGAAACTGCAAATTTGCATATGCTAATTTGCCCTAGTTTACCACCCACACCCTCACACAGGCCTGCTCTTTCCCCATGGTTTCCATGGGCAAAAGAACAAACCCATTTCAGGAGCCAAGGGCTGGATGTCCACACAACTATGTAAACCCCTCCACTTACGAAGGGGGAAAGTGACTTCATAGCCTGAACAGTTGCTAGTTAATGAATGCATGCGGAGCAAGACACTTTCTAAATATAGACAGCTCTGTGTGTGTGTGAGAGAGAGAGTTTAAAATCTGTCTGGCCTTTTCAGAGAAACCCACTAACAACCCTCCTGCTTTTCAGTTCAAGGTCACATGTTCCAGGAACAATCTTTCGTTTTGTCAGGAGGACAGACTCTGGCTTCTTCTCCTTTCTGATTTATGTGAGAAGTCAGGCCAGGAAAGGGAAGCCATTCACTTTGCAAGCCCAGACCTCGGCGAGCGGAGGGTGCTGTGGCTTCCTGCGCTCCAGGGATCTCAGGCCGATGGGAGCAATCGCAGTTTCTATCCAGTTTATCAAACACCCACCTGTTTCCTGTTGCATTTTGACTTTGCCATACTCAGTATTAATTGTTTCAGAATGCAATCTTAATCCCATCTTCCTCAAAAAATAGTCTTCCTCTTCCCAGAATGTCCCACTTTTCTGTCTAAACATGCATCCTTAGAAAAACACTTTCTCCCTTTGGAAGGACCCGAGAGTATTTAACAGGAGGCTTCACCCTGAAACTTGCCAAACTGTGTACATACATGCACTGATTAGAACAATAATTAGAAGGGAGGATACGAATTTAAGAAAGATGGGCATGGCTTTAGCCCTTCTCTTACCATCGCTCAAAAGCCGGTCAGCAGAAGCGCAGAGTTTTTGCTGCTTGCCCTTTGGGAGAAATAAAAAAGAACAGAAGCCAAGCATGGCTTTACTGCACCAGACAACGCCCACCCCACCACCAAGGCCCATGATGCACAGCATTCCTTTGCCAAGTGGTGTTGCAGGAACGCCATTCAGCATGCCCTGGATGGTTTGATTTCCTTGATTCGCAGAAGCGATGCCTGCATTATGCAGAGAATGTGTCCTTGGTACTCATGTTGAACAGACGGAAGGGCTGACGTGTATCTGATAAGGAAAAGCAGGAGGGAGGCACTCTCTGGCCAGATATTTTTTGGACTTGAACTCACAACAGGCCCAGCCAGTGCAGGTGATTGTCCTACAGAATCTGGAATACTGGGGCTTCCGTGCTCTTGACTCAAGGCACTGAGATCTCGCCTTCCTCCTGTGACGCTCAAACCAGACCTTTAAGGGATCCTGGGGAGGCCTCCTGCCCCATTACTGGACAGGCCCATTTAGGGATGCACTAATTCTTGGAGATGCAGGCTACTAGTCCTCAAGCTCCAGTTTTGCACATGCGCGTTCTCAGGGTGGCATGAGAGGCAACCCATTTTGGAGGGTCTGAGAGATCAGGATGAGGGGTGTGCAGGGGAGGTGGGTGGTTCTGGCAGGGCTGGCAGCTCGGACTCTGCTAATGAGGTGGCTGTTGAAATGGACCCAACTGCAGCCCAAGGCTCTGGGTACCCACTATGCCCGCTATGGGGAGATTTGCTCAGGGGCAGCCGAGAGGCCCAGGCAACCCACTTGTGGGAAAGAGGAAGAGCAGCAACATTCGGGGGGGGGGGGGATTTAGAGATGGGGAGTTGGATGGGGAACTGCGACTTGATAGTCCACCGTTGCATTTGTGGGGTGGCCCAATTGAGGTCTCCGAGGGAGGTGCACAGGGATGTTCCTTTCCACAGGGACAGGTGTGGAAGGACTCGTAAGGAAAGCATTGGGTGAAGAATGTCAAAAAGGGCTCATCGTTCCGCTTTGTGTATGGTCAGAGGCTTGTGGGCAAAACGAAGACCTTTGGCAAAGAAGCCCCAGTGAGTTTGTTACTACCGGGAGAGAGAAGCACAGCTTGCAACATCCAGTATCAGAGGAAGTTTGTGCACCAGGTGCAGGGGAACATGGGCAAGGTGGTGCAGCAGCAGTCAAGTTGTCCAGAGACTCTGTTTCGTCGTTTTGTAAGCCGTCGAGAGACTTTTAGTGTTGGGACGGCATATAAAAACTTTAAATAAACGAACAAACAAGTCCTCTACTTATGAGTTAGGTTCTTCAGGACTTCCTCAGCTCAGCACAATAGAATTCACTTCCACAAGGTGCAGGGATGAACGAACAAGTTCCTGGAGGAGAAGTTTATCAAGGATGGAATCGGTGCAGCGAAGGGCCACTAGGATGGGGTGGTTTGCAGGGGAAGCTGCATGGGGAGAGGCTGAGGGAGCTGGGTCTCTTCAGCCTTGAGAGGAGGAGACTCCGAGGGGATCTGTTGGAGACACACAGGTATGTGAGGGGGCATCACACGGAGCTGGGTAGAGACCTGTTCTCCCCTGCAGAGGAAGGCAGGACACGCTCCAACGGAGCAAAGCTCAGGGAGCCAAGGTTCAATTTGGATGCCAGGAAGCACTTCCTGACAGTTGGGACCCCCAGGGTGTGGAATGGGCTTCCACGAGAGGTGGTTGAGGCCCCATCGGTGGGAGTGTTCAAGGACAGGCTGGACATGCACATGGTGGGCATGTCGTGAGCAGAGCTGGCTGGTGCCAGAGGTCAGACTAGATGGCCTGGGAGGCCCCTTCTGACTTGCTCAGTTTCTAGGTTCTGTGTCTCTATGTTTCTATGTTATTTGTGGCTCAAAGATGGCTAGATGGCTATGAACTGCCTCCAACAAGCTTGTGACTGGGGAGCATGGGTGGGAGGGTCTGGCGGCACTCCAGCCTGCTCCAGCGGGGCTCCCCTTGTGTTCTTGGGGGCTTGGCGATCTTTGGAGTCTGAATAAGGGCTGGCAAGAGGGGCACAGAGCCTTCAAGGCGAGCAGCTGTGGATCCGCTCATCCTCATGAAGGTGTTCCACCACTTCTGAAAGCCCTCCGAGGATGTCCATCTCCACATCTTCTGGACATGAAGGACCAACCAAGACCAGCAAGGAAGAACCCTTGCTTGACGTGCAGAGGTCTCTGATGCAACACCCAGTATCCCCAGGTAGGTGGAGGAAGAACCTTCCTGAAACCCTGGAGTAGGGATATGGGGTTGGGAATTTGACGGAGTCCCTGGGCTCAGCTCCCTGGACCCCGCTCTGCTTTGGCATGGTCCCGAGTTCAAGTCCCTGGGAAGTGCGCCCCACATTTGTGGGGCGTTCAACAGGAATTGAGTCTTGTGTGCTGTGCAAAGGATCCCTCTCCCACACCAGGGCTTGGAACTGTGGACCCAGTGCAGAAGAAGGTCCTGATGGTGCGACTTTCGTGACACGTGTGTTCACGGACTTTCCAGTGCGTCAGCCTGCTTTGCAAGACCAGGCTGAACAAGAGAGGAGGTCCATGAATGTGAGAGGGACGGATTCTGGTGAGCTTTGCCCTTCTCCTCCCCTGGATGCTACTGACCCCTGACAGTCCAGGCCTAGCTGGACCAATGGTCTGGCTTAGAGTGCGGCAGTCTCCTTTGATCCCGTTTTCCGTAATTTATGGGACAGGAGTCAATGGGATGGACTGGGGGAATGGGAAATGCTTGTCGGGGCCTGGCTGAGTGTCCGTCCCCTGAACGTACGGACCAGGCTGCAGGAATCGGTTCATCCGGAGGATGAAGAATTTCAGTCCTTCGACCCCAGCTTTATAATGATTCAGCGCAGAGCATGCCCAGGTTTGGAGATGAAGCCTTACCAGTGACGGCAGCTCAGAATGCTTGCTTTTCGGAGGCCCTTGAGGTTTCCGCCGATAGATGGAATTGTACTTCTCCCTTTGGAAGGGCTTGGTTTTGCTTCCGCATAGTCCCATCCTGCACTGAAGGAAACACAAGCAAGGTTGTGTCCGGGCAATCACTTGCTGATGTTGCAACAAGTAAAAAGAGATGCCTTCTGCTTACACCCAAATGCCATGTCTGGAATGCTCCCTCTCTGCTGGGCAACCCAAGCGACTGTAGAAGAGGGATAAATTCTAAGAGCAGGGCCTTTCTGGTGGCGGTCCCAAAGCTGTCAAACAACTTCCTCTTGAAGTTGCAGCTCTTGGGCTACTTTGTGGGAAGTTGCGAGACACTGTTATTCCAGTTGGCTTCTGGCCTGTCTGGTTAAAGATTAGGAGCCAGGCTGAGTGACTCAGGAAGTCAATCAGAGGGATTCTTCTGGGAGAAGAAACTCCTGGGAGAGGAGTTTCCCCTTACCTTTCCTCTAAGGGAGGGGGGGTCTCCCAGGGCAGAGGGGAGGGGCAGCTGTATAAATCTGTCCCTTGGACTACCCCACCCAAGCAGCAAACAACATCAGTGCCAAAGCTATGTGCTGTTACGGTTGTCTCCACCGAGTGACTGAAGATGGTACTGCTGGCTTCGAACACAGATACAGTTACATTTATTAAAATTAGCTAATGCATTGTAAACATGAAGTAATCACATAGCGCACACCTGTAGTGCCCCTTAGCATGCATGTTCATGTGCTCGGCACTATGGCGATGACAAGAGGACAGACACACGCAGCTCCCTCCTGCAGCATGTCATTTGTTTGGACACTGCTCTACCAGAGCAACATTGCGGAGGAGCAGGATGCATTCCCAAAACAGAATAAATAAACCCTGCAACAGGAACCACTGAAATGCTTCATTTGATAAAAATGTATTAAAATGTTGAGCAAACATCTTTTACACCAATGTGAAAATGAACCACGCATTTAAAATGAACGTCTGTTGCTCTGCGATGGTTATCGTTCCTCTGTGTGCTTTTTCAGTTCAAGGGAAAGCGTCTAAAATGCCAGATTTTGCCATTCAGATTTAACACGATATTCCATCGCAAGCTGCGAGTGTGTTAGTCTTTTTACATCTCAGTTTTGGGCAGATGTCAACGATGAAACTGAAGCTGTCAGCAGTCAAATGGAGAGAAAGCAAATAGAGGCTTTTCCTCCTCTCTTGTAATATCAGAATGAACCGAGGGGTCATCCACCGATGCTGAATAGAGGCCACTGTTAACATTATTGGTTTTATCTGGCCAGGGCAGCTTATTGTATACTGTATTGTTGTATTTTAATTTAATATTTATATTTTTAATTTATATTATAATTATTTTAACTTAATGATGTGAGCCGCCCCGAGGCTTCGGTGAATGGGGCGGCATAAAAATGTTTTAATAAATTTAATAAATAATAATTGAGGAAAGCCAAAGGAAGACCTTCTCGAAGGGGGTGGTTATGCTACGGAGCTCGCTCAGGGCTGGCGCCAATAGCTGGCATGGTGGGGCACCTGCAAGGGCCCTCCATGGACTTGCCGCTCGCCTTCCTCCTCTCCACCACCTTGCTAACCTGCCTCCCACTCTGGACCTGAGAAAGGATGGGGAAATGGCAGCAGCGTCTGACTCCCGTTACTCACTCCCTGCCAAGGAAGAGGAAGAGGAAGTGGAGAAGGAACAAGAAGCGGGGAGGACAAGGGCGAGAGGCCCACGAAAGGTGTCTTGATCGGGGTCCTCGAATCCTGGCCTGCGAACTGAACTCACTAGCACAAGTTGTAATAAGGGGGACACTCATATGGGCAGCTTGAGATAAAATGCATGGAAGGGAACCCCATCAATGGCTTCCTCTTTCTGAGATACACCCCAGGTCCAAAATTACTGAGCATTTTGGTGCAACGTGTTGGTTGAGCAAGAAGGGTATTCTCCAACGGTAGATTTTGGACTGGACTAAATATACCGCAGATTTTATTTTCCTGGGCTCCAAGATCACTGCAGACTGGGACTGCAGCCAAGAAATTAAAAGACGCTTGCTCCTGGGGAGGAAAGCTATGGCAAATCTAGACAGCATACTAAAAAGCAGAGACATCACCCTGCCGGCAAAAGTGCGTATAGTCAAGGCTCTGGTTTTCCCAGTTGCAATGTATGGCTGTGAAAGCTGGACCATAAGGAAGGCTGAGCGCCGAAGGATTGAGGCCCTTGAATTGTGGTGCTGGAGGAGACTCCTGCAAGTCCCTTGGACCGCAAGGCGATCAAACCGGTCAGTCCTAGAGAAGATCAACCCTGACTGCTCTTTGGAAGGCCAGATCCTGAAGATGAAACTCAAATACTTTGGCCACCTCATGAGAAGGAAGGACTCCCTGGAGAAGAGCCTGATGCTGGGAACGATTGATGGCAAAAGGAGAAGGGGACGGCAGAGGATGAGGTGGCTGGATGGGGTCTCTGGGGCAGTGGGAGTGGGCTTGGGTGGACTCCGGGAGATGGTGGAGGACAGGAAGGCCTGGAGGAGTGTTGTCCATGGGGTCACAATGGGTCGGACATGACTTCACAACTAACATAACAATAAATATACCACAGCAAGGCCACAATCCTGTTTATATTACCCGGAAGTAAGCCCCATTGGACCCAGGGGGTCTTGCTGTGGAGAAGCACACATTGGATTGTACAGTAAATATGGAGAGCTTCAAAGTGACTCACAACTCTTGGTGTTTTGGGGTTGTTTCTCTGCAACACACTAACTCGCCATGAATTTCCCACAGTGCTGTGCAAGCTGTGTTGAAATGTGTCCGCTCACACATCAACTACGGGATGCTGAGATGTGGTTATTGCTGATGGTGCAGAAAATGAAAAGCCATCGTGTTTGATAAAGGAGCAGCACTACCGGATGAATCAGCCCCTGTTTTGCATGAGGCCGGCAGAAGACCATAGCAGTCATGCTTTCCTGAAAACGATAAGAAGATAACCCAGCTCTTCAAAGCAAAAATAAAGATTGCGCTAATTGAACAAGGGAAATCTTCATTGCATTAATATGCGTTGGCTGCCCAATTCCAGTCACCTCAGAGTCAAAGTAGGTTGGGATACCAGCTTTGGACCGGTGGATGTACTGAATAGGGTCACAATGACCAAGAACACTGTTTGTGCCCTTTTCTGGATCCCACACCGGCTCTTTATGGGGCTGCCTTTGAAGATGGGTCTGGAAATTCAGCTGATAACAAACACGGCTGCTTGAATCCTTGCTGGGGCCAGCCAGGGTCGAAGTAATAAAGCCATTTACTTCTCGGCTTTCTTACTGGATGAAATAGATGGATGCTCTCTGGAAAGAAACACGAAGCTCTCTAGAATAAAAGCCTGATGGTGGCAACTGTTATTTTTATTTCTATTTTTAGAATTAATTCATTGCAAATCATCCAAGACATCTTAGCATGGGATGGTATAGAAAAGTTTTAAATAAATAATAAATCTCTGAGAGTACAAATGTGCCATGGAGAAGAGAGGCAGGTGGGGGGGGGGGTCTGGGAGCAGGTTGGGGTTTCTCCAGGGGGCAATTCAGATCCAGAGGACCCCTGCCTCCTCCCCTTCCTTTCCCAGTTCTTGATGAGCACTTCCTCCATGTCTTGCTCTGGCCATTGGATGCACATAACTCTCCGAGGTCAGAGGTTTACATACATTGGACTGCTGTGATCCTGGGGGTGTTTGGACCAAAAACCTTATCCTACAACGCCAAGCATGTGCTAGCCATAAATTAGCTAATATTGTAATCTCAACGAAATGCTAAAGCCTCAATTAAAAGTTAAATTAACATTAGTGAGTTGCTGTACTTGCCTCATGGCTTTCCTACTTTTCTCTCCGTTAATGAATTACCTTGATAGCCAGCAAGCAATGCTATAAATTAATTCTGTCACCTCACAAAGATTTTCCATTACCTGTATGTTTACTTTTCTTCTAGTTCAACTAATTATGCAAATAAACAGACCATCTTGTAAAGCCTTGATAACGGAGTGCAGCTTACAGGAAGAAACAATTAGCTAATTAAGTCTGTGGTTCTGTTACGGCAATAATATTTGAGAATTTCGGAAAAGTATAGCAAGATATGATCTCTTGCCTGAAAGTATGCATAATATCAAAATTGGCCTCAAAGTATAATCATTTAAAATGGCAGCAACACAACTGATTCCGTTACCTTTGACTCAGCCCCTTTGTTAGACTTTTACTTCAATATATTTCCAAGAACAGCCACCTCACACCTTGTATTGCGTAACTAGCTGGATTTGATAAGAATTTCATTCAAGTCAAGCTGTCGATTCTTAAAAAACAGGGATAGCCTCATTTTGTCAGGACAAGCTGTTTTTTTTTGAACGGGTGATGGCTAACGTTGCCAGGTGACAAAATTTCCATTACAAGAGCTGAGTGTTTGCAAATGTATCTGAGAAATATGAGCTTTACTAAATAAACTTAGCAAACTTAGGTGCATCGCCTGCTAAAGAGTTCCCCAGCCACAAACAGTGCCAGAAGAACTCCGATTTGATGTTGCAAACGTAACACTGAACCCTTTTTAATAGAAATGTTATGGAAGGCATAACGTATGCAACACTCTACAATAGATATTCCCCATCGAGCTCAGCTGATGAATGAATTAAGTCCTACACAACTACTATCCGTTTGTTTCAGTCCACTTCTGTGCTACCCCATAACCTGAAGATCTCTAGGCAGCTTACAAATGCTGAAAACAGCAAATAAATACAATCGATAAAACAGATGCAAACAATGCAATTGGCGGGTTATAAAAAATGCAAAACCACACGCAGCATGACAAAACGCAGCCCATAAAATCAGCAGCCATCATTAAATAAAGACAATGTAGCTTATAAATGAAATTAACTGAAAGCGTGTTTGAACAAAAATGGTTTTACCTGGCATCTCAAGGAAAGGAGAATCGACATGGTCATATGGCTGGACGTGCACATGGTGGGCATGTCGTGAGCGGAGCCGGCTGGAGCCAGGGGTCAGACTAGATGGCCCGGGAGACCCCTTCTGACTCGCTCTGTTCCTATGTTTCCATGTCCCAGGACACACGACA